TGCAGTGTAACTCTAACCACACGGACCGCCCTCTCATCCTTACAATGTGCCCCCTCCCCTCCCCGCCCGCCCCTGCTCTTCTCTAATGCAGCCCGTGCCATTATGCAAAGCCCCGCTTCAGTATCAATATGGCCGAGTGCTTTTAAGGTGCTTTGGCTGCTGATGTAGAGAGGCATTTTTAATGGACTGTGTTGCAGAAATCATTGTTGTGGGGTAATTTTACCCTACTCAAAGGCCTCGCTGAATGAGCTCTGCATTTACCAGACAGCCCATGCTATATTTCACCTGGCAGTCAGCGCTGAAATGAAACTCAATAGTCATCGCCTATGGACAACAGACAGCTCCAAATGTGTTTTTTTTGTTTGTTCTTTAATTCAAGCCCACTAGCATTTTAAAGTCAAATCCAAGAGGGAGGCAGAGACATAAATCAAGATAAAGCCGTCTCTAGCGTTTTCAAAGCGCTACTGATTTTTAGGGAGAAACCAGATGTGTCATTGCAATTAAAGAGTCCCTTGGCCTTAATTATAGTGACCCAGGGTGTCGGCTTCACCCCAGCGCTGTAGTTCACTGGCAGAGGAGCCCATTAGAGCCCAAGTTCAAACCGATATAGCAACTTAATTGAGCACCTAAAGGCACGGGCTCCTTAAATCAAATACTATCAAGAGCCGTTCCCGTGGTAAAATAATTAACCTGGTATGAGTTCCACACTGTGGCGAAATACAAAGAGCTCGCTGCAAATGTCCTCCAGCCTTTGTTTCTGCAGCTTTCAGAAGTAATTTAGGAGATTTAAAGGTGCAGCCAGACCCAAGCCTAATGCTGGGAATTGAAACTATATCCCACAGTTTTCAAAGCCGAAGAAAATAATACCTGGAAAATATTTTATACAAGAAGTGACATGTTGATTAGAGCAGGCATCCTTTGAGGCTCCGGACAAGCTGTCAATAGTTCTTCATGATAACATATGACGACGTGATTTGGCAGGGTGAGGTCTGAGGGAGGGGTGGGGGATATTGAATATTGAAAAATGACTATGCTGATGATGCTTTTCACATTTGTCAATCCAACAGAAATGGCATAAAACATGTCTTCAAATGTTTTAGTTACCGCTGTTTGGACGTTTGCAGAAAATTCAATCCTGTTTTCCATCAGCTCTAATAATTATAACCTCAGTATAGAGAGGGATGCCAAGATCACTCTTTTAATCAATAGTCAATTATGCAGGCCACAATATGGTAAGAGAAAAGTCAGTAAATTATAAAGCTGATGTCATGTAACTTTACTCTATCATTAGGATCGTTTGTTCGGGAACATTAGATAATAATCTTGACACAAACACTTTAAAATAGAAACATCCTTACCTCATTTTATGAAACGGGGATTTTCATACATGACCATATATGACTGCTACCACAGCATGAAGTGAGACTAAGAAAGATGCCTTCACATTAACCACTCTTTTGAAATAGTGCGAACACATTTGCAGAGATGTTATCCTCAACACAAATGTTTGAAAGCAAGGCCCTGGTATATGGCTTTTCAGTCCCACGTCTGTCCCGGAGAAGGCGCAGAATTGGCAGTGTTGTGACGACAGTCTCCAGTTAATTAGTTTCTGAAATTGAGTTTTGATGGAGCCTTTCTAAATGATGCCAAGACAAAATTTGCTTCTGCCTTGGCTGTCTTATTGAAAGCCATTTCAGTCGCTTTTGCAAAGAGGTCTGGCTTGTTGTTTGTTTGTCAATATATCTAACTGCTTGGGTTATGGCTTGAATGCTTGAAATATTAATTTGCCTGCTGCAAGATTTTGATAAATCCTTTTGTTAACAGTTTAGAGTGCTGCTCCCACTTAAAATATCTGCAATTTGTTATGTACAAACAAGACAGTTGTCAATCCGTTCCCGTAGAACTATTCTTCTCTCTTAAATATCTCAGAACTACCCAGAATGCTGGGTATACACGATATTTAGGTTTGAAGTTCAGACTACTCAGACTGCAATGCTTTTTGCTCATTTAAACCTAAAAAATACCAAACCAAGTGCAAAAAGGTATTCAGAAACAAGAATAACTTATACACTTATGAACCTTCTATTTCTATAGGAACAAAATACTAACCTGGATGGAAAATAAGAAATACTGTTGATGTCAAGTACAGGTACAACGTGAACATTCTGATGTTTTAGGTCAGTTTATGTCAGTTTTAGACTGTAACTGTCCTTGAGAAAGTTTTGAGAAAGTTTTCTTTCTGTGGTAAAAAACAAAACAAAAATGTCCTTGGTCTGCTGGAGCTCTCTCGACTCATTCGGCTCAGTAACCTACACTAATATTATTACACATAACTTTCTAGTAGCATTATTAGCCTTTTTCATACAACACAACAAAATAATATTTTAATTGTGATTGTTCTGATACTTTGCAATTTATTAATAACAGGATTCTTGTCAAAGTTCACATTTCAGACATGTTCAGAAGAATGGTCAAAAACTCAATCACATTTCAAAAAATTGTTTGTAGAGTTCTTAACTATGAAGGTTAGCAGTTTTTTATGCAAAATAACAGAATATTTTGCTGTTTGAGGAAAATTATAGAACTTAAAAAAATGCAGCCTTTGCAATTGCAATTAACCCTGCAACCTTACAGCACTCAACCACAGCACCATTTGTAAGAACTAAAGGCCATCGGCTGAAAATAAATGTGACCTATCTGTGTTCATGTTGACATTACAGAGGTCAAGACGATAACTAAACCATAAAACCAGATCAATATATTCCTTGTAATCTTTGAAATCGTACACATCGCACGTCTAATGACGTACCTTGTTAAACATTCACGTAGCTTGTTAATTCCTCTGTATCCCGACTTCTTCTCCGTGCAATTCGGCCGGTTAACCACTCCCCCCTATCCCTTACCCTCCTCGCCCCCCGCTCCCCACGGCCCCCCCTCCTCCGCCGTGCCGAGCATGTCAGATGCCGTGGTCTTATTTGATTGCTTAGGAAAAGTGCAGTGATAGAGCAAACACCCGGTGAGATATGATGACAAATGGGTCCAGATCCCAGTAAATTACTTTCTGCTCAAATCGAAATTTCATTCAGTTTGCTGCTCACCGAGATGAAGTAATCTAAATTGTGGACTCAGAAGGAAGATAGAAGGGAAGCTGGAGCAAGCATTTCATTATCAAGAGGCAGAGAGAGAGAGGAGAGAGAGAGAAAGGAGAGAGAGAAGGTTAGGGACGAAAGAGATGAGCAGAAGCAAATCTAAAGTGTTGACACCATGATTGAAAAGGTTAACCCATGCACATTATATATCAAGGCGAGTAGCTCCGGCGTTCTAATGGAAACACGGCAGTGACAGAGCGCTCGCAGGACTCCTAATGGCAAAAGCACTACGTCTCCGCCTGGATGTACAATCAAATCCTCTTAGGGCCTGATTGCTTATGTTCCAGGTTATTATTAGGTTGCAAAAAATGGCCACCAAAAGTAGTGTGCAGCTCCTGAGCGGGAAGGCAGGAATGTGGAGTGGCGGTATTTTTCTGTTGGTATTGATACTTTGCAGTGACATCATGCTGCAGGGGTGAGAGGTTATGCGCGTATGTCTATGGAGGGATGTTCGGCAGTGATTAGGGATGTAACAATAACCGAAATATCGTCAAAGTTCTCACAATAATGGACCCTCACAATATATCAAATTACAAGTCCCTTTGCCTAAATTAAGAGTTATGGTGCAGCAATAGCTAACAAAATACAGAGGGAACTACATAGACCATGATCCTTTGCTCCATTTCAGTGAAGAAATAACACTTCTAAACACTTTTAAGTCTTAGTTCTTTGGATTAAGTCTTGACAAGGCATTTTAAGAGGAAAAAGTAGCATACAAACAGTTTCCACTCCACAAAATATCGCAATAAATATTGTAGTATGAGATGTATATTGTGAAAATATTGCGTAAGAGATTTGTATATCGTTACATCGCTAATCGTGAGCTTCCCCACAATATCGCAATAAATATCGTACCGTGAGGTTCATACTGTGATAATATCGTATCGTGAAACTTGTATATCATTACACCCCTAGCGGTAACCATGGAGACCAAATGCAGACATTAGCAAAGTACATTTTGTCTGGTAGTCTAAAAACTACAAAATGGATTTAAAGTAGAACTTGGAAAAATAGTGATAACAATGGAAGCGCGATCTCACTCTTATTGGTCAGTTTCAACTTTTTCAACAAAAAATTGAGCGTGACAAAGCAAATGATGTGTGATGATACAGTATCGATATCGTAGGCTGCTGTATCGATATATCGCCAAGAGTATTTTTAGGTATATTTTACTCAATTATTTTGTGTAAGAGCTACAGTTGTGTTGACATTTTCATTGTTTTGATGAGTAAAATGGGCGTTTTTCATATTAACTTTGCACAAACTTAGTGGAAGTCTTTTAGTATCACATCCACGATTTAGCCTTTGTTTTTCATTAAACTGTATCGAATCAATTTGAAATATATCGTATCGTACTGAATTGAAAGCGCACTGTATCAAAAAACGTATCGTATCGAGGTATGTTTCGTATCAGCAATTCTTAATGGTACGCAGCCCTATTGCATATTGTACTACACTAATAACACTTGTCTAATGCCAGCTTACTTGTGACTGTTATGACATTTGAGAGGGACTTGTTTAACAGCACAAATCAGCTCCTCGGTTCATTGTGGTCAGATTGTTTAAAACAAAGCTCTGATTAAAGTGTAACGTGAGTAACAAAGCATCAGACGGAGCAGTGCCTCTAGATAGCGTCACCCCCTCCAAAGAATGACATCAGCTGCAAAGTATCAGTTGCGATGGCTTTCTGTTGCTCGCAGTAGTTGGGTTGTATTTGTCTAGTTTATAAGTTTGAGGTTGAAAATGGGGAAGTGGGCGCTCAGTAAAGTGACACACCAGCCAAGTATGTCCAGGCCAATGTCCCGTTCATATCTCTCATAACATATGTTTCCTTTTTCTTGTTTTTCGCAGATTATTTGGCAACAGCGGAGCTTGCAGCGCTTGTGGTCAATCCATTCCCGCAAGTGAACTGGTGATGAGGGCACAAGGCAATGTGTACCATCTCAAGGTAAACTCAATACAGAGGAATAAAGGAATCGTTTCATTTCTCTTCACAGCTTTTCTGTAGAGCTGGCAGACCTTTCTTTGAATTGAAAAAGTCAAACAACCTCAAATGAACACCTTAAGCAATGTACATGGCAAAGCTTTTCAGTCAGAGTACAGGACATTTCTCTGACGTTTTGACCTTTTGTTTACGCTACAATGGCTTTACAATGAGCGCATGTATAAAACCAGTGAGTTTTGGGGAAAGGAAAACGATTCTTCTTGCAAAACCACCTAACTCTAACCATGAGATTTTAGATTTCTGTTTCATTATGAACACCAACACTATCGCATCTATGATCAACTCCAAAAAGTGGAATGAAGTCTCTCTGGTATTTAAAGTTATGCAATCAAAAGATAAAGGTGCTCTGCATAACTTTTGTAGCTTGTCTGCATGGAGATGTTTTGCTTTGCCTAGAATGTTCCAAGGTAGGCATTAAAAGTATGGCTACACTACCTTTAGTAAGAATTTACGTTTTTAAGCAAGAATTTAGGCTACTTGTGAATAAATAAATGCTATGTAGATGTGTTTAATGCCATACTGTGGAATACTCCCAGCAAAACTAGCCAAGCTGGCGCCACCTAGTGCCTCCACTCAATTTCATTTCTCTCCAGAGACGAGGTCAGGAATCGGAATACACTAGATGGTTGGCAAAAACCCTGGAAGTGTGAATTTGGGCACCGGCCAATCAGCGAAGAGCCATATATTCTGTGTTGGCAACAATTAACGGGATCGAGGATTTAAAGCCAAAACAAAGAGAATGTTTGGTGAATTTTATCAAGGGGAAAGACCTTATTGCCCTTCTTCCTACGGGATTTGGGAAAAGCTTAATATACCAGTTAGCCCCGATAGTGGTGCATTACATACGTCACGGCCAAATAGCAGCGATTGGTTAAATGAAAAAGTACAAACCTACCGTCAAGCGAACGAATCTTAATGCTGCGAGATCAGACGGTTTCTACGAAGTGAAACCAGATGATGAATCAGGCTAAAGCAAAACAACATCTCCATAAAAATAAGCATTAATAAGTAGAAGTAACACATAAAAATTACAAATGGACAACCAGTTAGAATTCTACGGTACAATTTGCCTTCTAATTGTTAGTTTGAACAAATCTATCTATTAATGCATGGAACGTCCGTCCGTCTGTGTCTCCTCCTGTTGGTTTGTTTGTTTGTCTGTTCGTCTGTTCCACTCATAACTCTCAAACCACTCATTAGACTGATCTCAAATTTGGAGGGTGTCATCCTAATGGGACGGGTGTGTGCAGTGCCAAGTTTCATGTTGTTAAGGTGAAAAATGCCAAAGATCTGGTAAGCTATAAATTAACAAAATCTTTTTTTACACAATAGCTTCAGAAAATGGGGTCATTATTCAACTCCAAATAAGTTGGATGTAAGATAGGATGGCAAGTTTGCTCAGCTGATCTGAAACAAATACTGTAATATTAATAAGGTTCAACATTTGTAGATGGGAGGTTTTTCTAATTCTTTCAATAACAGTAAATCTCCCACAGAATTATATAGACTCCAGCCCTGCATCTGAAATAAATAACATCAAATTGTAAAACGTGAACGCAACATCAGAGGCGGCACTACCATTAGGCAAAAGTAGGCGGCTGCTTAGGGCCCCAAAACCTGGAGGGGCCCCCAACCAACCCAGCCAACTGCCCTCAGTGCCACTAATGACCGAGGCCTCAGAGCAATTTAATTTTCTCTCAATATAACATTAAATGAGAGTAGTTTACTTTTAAACAATCATCATAAGAAAAATAATCATATGTAATGGATGTAAACAAAAATGGAATTGTACTTGCAAAAAATAAAACTACTTTCAGTTCTGGTTATCTAGTAGGCGACCAAACTAATAAGACAAGTTTTCAATCCACCATAATTAAAATAAATAGAGATGACAATGGGGAAAAACAGAGAACAAAAAAAGGTGCGTTATAGTGCGGGCCCCAAACTCAAGTTCGCCTAGGGACCCCAAATTGCTCACTCCGCCACTGCGAAACATAACACATTACTGACCTTTCTATAATTCAATATCTACAAATTACTAAATAATTTCCTTTGTGGCTTCAAACAGATGATGTCCAAACAGGCGGAGGTGGGAATCAGCAGGAATTTAAAAGCTTTTAAATATCACAAAGCCGCTGTAGCTTTAACACTTGTGAATTGGAACATTGCATGACAGTGCTGAGCTGGTTGACACCTCATTTCTGCTCCTTATCAAAGATTCATGTGACACTCCATAGACATGTGTATGATGCAATATGTATAGAGCCACTAGTCACCGCGAGGGAGGGGCGGGAGGTCACATGACTGAATACGGAAACAAGGATGGAAAACTTATAATCATGATAAATTGTGGGGGGGGGGGAGTTTAAATTCTTGCTTTTTTGCTAAATTTTTGTGAATTTTAACACATTGTTTTGAAAATACAGGGTTTTGATCGAGGTATTTAGTGCACCTACCTGCTCATCTCCATGTACACTAGTAATTTCTTTCGTGAAATGTTCCACAGTCTGGCATTAAACTTATATATCTCCTCAAAAACACCAGTTGCAGGTCAGATCTGTACAGAGGCATGTATGTGTTTGAAGGTGTAAATGCAACAATTGGGCACTATTTTTTTGGTGGAAGGATCTGCTGTTTGCTCATCTGCGCTTTCACCATGTATTGTCTTTGTGAGCAGGTGCCCTCTTCGCAGATCTGGCCTGTAACTCGTCCGGGTGGAGTCACTTTTGAATCAATACCACTTTAACAAATGACTTCTTTAAACCGAGACTTAAGTAAATTTGTCCTAATATAACTGCGCTCTCCTCTGTCCCTGCAGTGTTTCACATGTTCCACCTGCCGGAATCGCCTGGTCCCCGGAGACCGCTTCCACTACATCAACGGCAGCCTCTTCTGTGAACACGACAGACCCACGGCTCTCATCAACGGCCATCTGACTTCACTGCAGACCAATCCACTGCTGTCAGACCAAAAGGTAGCCCCACCCCCTTCACACGCACACTCAACTCAAATATAAAGGCCTTATGTTCTTTTACTGTGCATTAGTATTACGATACCAACATTTCTAACTCAATTTCAATACTTAGGAGTAGGATTGATACTGATTTTGATACCTAAATGATCATTTTAAAAGCTGGTTTTAGAAAATATTGTACTTTTCAACACAAAAAATTATACTATATGCTCTTACAATAGTTCTGATTAAACTTGTTGAATTTTTCAGGAAAGGTTCTTCTTCTTATTTTTTTCACTATCGATACTTCCTTAAATGAGTATCTGGTTTCGATACTTGTTTTATTATGGATTAGGGTCTGTTTTTCGAATCTTTTGACAACTCTACAGTGGATAGAAACAGGTTTTCATGTTTTTATAATTATTACTAGTGGGGTAGTACCTGTGATATTTTGCAGGTTAAGTGGCAGTTTGCGGAAAAAAGTTGACAAAAAGGTTGACAAAAAAGTTGACAGAAATACAGACAGTAGCGGTGAGGTCTACCACGGAACATTCCAGTTAAAATGCAAAGGACAATTGACGTGCAAAGAACACGTTTTACTAGCAGTTTAAAGCTTCATTTAACAAATTTAAGGTGTTGTCTTTTGTTTTTATTAGTCCAGTCATACCTCTTGCGCAGTGTAGACATGTAGTTTTGGCACTTGTTAACACTGGTTATACCGAATTACCTCTAGCCTTTGTGTGTCATGTCCTGCAGCTCATGTCCAAACAGTTATAGAATTACCTCTGGCGCACTGCAAATTTCTCTCATCTGGCCAAGATTTTAAAACTTATATCAAGTTATTCATCTTGTTTTCAGATTTATTATCCACTTACTAGTTCTGAGACAGTTTAATTCTAGTCTAGAGGTAGTTTACTTTAAGATACCTTGTCATGTAAAATTAAGATAATTTCACTACTTGTAAGTCATTTTCTGATAGATATAAGTGTTTATTTATTTTACATTTTGGTCAAGATTTTTGTAGTGCATATGTATGTCATGTCCTGCAGCTCATGTCCAATCGGGAACTGAAATTTTAACATTATAAACTTCATCAAAAAGAAAAAATCTTTAGTGAAAACTATTTTTTGTTTGTTTGTTCTATTGAGAAGAGTAGTTAAACTTGTGATGTGCACTTCAAAAACAAGTTCATGATGGAGTGAAAGAAGTGAACAGTTACTGCATTACCTCTAGTATAAGTACGTCATGTCCAAACCAAAAGAAAAAAATAAATAAAAAAACAGACAATATCTTAGTCAAATTTCGAATAATACTATGTTAATTGACTTTATTGAAGTGAGTAGTCTAACATTAATGGAATTACCTCTAGCATACTGCAAATTCATCTGATCTGGCCAAAATTTTAAACCTTATATCAGGTTATTCATCAACTTTTCAGATGTATTATCGACTTACTAGTTCTGAGACTGTTTAATTCTAGTCTAGACTTAGTTTATTTTAAGATAACTTGTCAAGTAAAATTGTCTTGCTGCATGGACAGATAATTTCACTACTTTTAAGTCATTTCCTGATAGATTTAAGTGTTTATATTTTAAATTTTGGCCAAGCTTTTTTGCAGTGAATCTGTATGTCATGTGCTGCTGCTCAGATCCAATCAGGAAGTAAATGATAAACTTCACAAAAAAATAAAATAAAAAACAAGCAAAATCTTTGTCAGATTTTAAGTGTTAACTATGTTTTATTGAAATGAGTAGTCTAACCTGTCATATGCTCTTCAAAAACAAGTCCATGATGGAGTGAAAGAAGCTAGTGATTACTCCCCATCACTGTGTCAGCTATTAACAGGAAAAGCAAAACAGCTGTAATTTTCATGCAACTTTTTCTGATGCGCTTGTATTGACGTGGCTGATTACTGCGGAGCATGAGACAGATATTAAATCTCTCTGAGTAGAGATGAATTTTATTTTTAGACGGGCAATGGATTTTTCCATCATTCTTATTGGAGGACATGAACTGTGAAAACTGAACAAAAACTGAAAATGAATTCTTCTACAACTGTCTTTGTTCACCACAGCACTACATTCAAGCGCAGTGGAAGTAAAAAGTCAAGTTATTAGAGAAGAAAGGCGAAAAGTTGCAGAAATGTCAGGATTTCAACAATTAGATTTGACAAAGTATTGTACAAAATGAATGATTCTTCTCTCTAGTATTTTTTGGAGAGGCTCACTTTAGAAGGCATTTCGCTTTTTGATTTCACTTTAAAGACATATTGAGCTTGAGTCTGCTATATAATTCTGATATCTCGCTATTATTAATCTATATTAGACATGTCAAACTCAGGCCTGGGGACCAAATTTGGCCCGCGATATAATTATATTTGGCCCTCGAGAGCATCTCAAATATGTATTAGAGCTGCCCACTGGCTACAGATAGACTATAGAGACCTAATTTATTTAAAATGGTGTTACTATTTTATATTATGCTTGTTCTGGACTCAATGTTTAACCAAAACTATTATTAAACATTTACTTTAATAAGAAAAGGTTTAACATTACATATCTCGAAAGAAGAGAAAACATGTAGATGTTGTTGAAATTTTTCAATAAATATTTAGTTTGGCCCACGACTTAATTTTGGCCCTCTGTGAATTTGAGTTTGACACCCCTGATTTATATGTTTAAATAAAAGAAACAAAACTGCTGATGTCCCTGTTAGAAAACTATGGTGCCCAATGGGAGCTGATGTTGTCGTAAACATCACAACAAAGAGCCACAGAGTTTTCGGCACCTCCTTTGGATGCAGATCACATTAGGGAGTAGCAGATATTTTTTGTCATTTGAAACAAAATGTCTGCGTGATGCTGCCAAATTCTACATGTATCAGTGATTAACCAAATAAACTTAGAGAGCGAAGTCAGTACAGAGCAGTGGGCGTGTACTGTGTCTGTAAACATGGGTTTTGATCAGAGCAATGAGAATTAACATTGCTCAAACATGCATAAATCACTCTAAATACAACTTCGAAAGGGTAAATGAGAAGAGAAGCAACTCCGAAAAAGGAAGATCTGAAAAGTCGAAAAGTGAATTCAATCATGAAACAGAATTTCAACACAAAAGGAAGACAAAGAAACCAAAAATTGCTTTAATCATTATTCAGGTCTTTCTTGTACATACACCATTTCCAGCAAGCACATGCAAGTAATACAACACAAATACTAATAACACAAAAAGAAAACAAAAATAATTGCAATTGATTTACATGCATGACCTGTGACCCACTGATACTGGACATTTAATTTGCATCATTCTCTGAGGGACTTATTAACCTCCATAATCAATATTTCATTTTCTGGGTCTGATTGAACCAGCCAATGCTACGATTGGACGCTCTGATGTGTTTTTCTTGTATTAACTTTGATATGGTGATGTGCAATGGCTTTGTAGATACAGTAATTAAATAATATTTTTGAGGCAAATCATAACTCAAAAAAATCTCTAAGCTAAATCGTACTTATTGACAAAAAATTTAAGTATTTTTGAATTATCTTGATGACAATATTCAGATGATATTTTAATAATACAACAAGAATGTGCTCAGCTCTGCCTGTAAATGTCTTAGTTGAGATTCAGATTAGTGTTGTCACAATACTAACATTTCAAACAATAGACTCGATACACAATACCGATTCCGATACCACGATGATCAATGAAAAACGCTCTTTCTATAGACAATCGAATGTGATTTTTTCTTATTAAATCGTAATACTTTCTTACCATGTGCTCTTATATCTGTAATCCGTCAGTCATCCACATAGGTTCCATAGTGATCCATGGGTGTATACTAGTTTATGGCTACATTCAGACTGCAGCCTAAGGTGACCCAAATTTTTCGTCCCTATACGACCTGTATCTGATCTTTTAATGACAGTCTTAATGACACAGATCCAATTTTTTTCAAATGCGACCCAGGTCACTTGGATATGTGCTCCTAAAACTGATACATATCCGATTTTTTGACATGCGACTTCAGTCTGAACGGCCAGGTCACATTCATCCCACCTACACACTCACAAATGTACACAAACGTTCTTCTTGTCATACGAAAATTGTGTATGAACTCCATGTTAGTGAAGCACAGAAGCACATAGCAATCCTACCACTTTTTTCTGCGACCCTGCACCCACACGTTACTTTCTACGGACTTTGTTGCCACTGCCCCACAAAATGCCATGGCCAGAAGCCTTGTCCTTCTCCTTCTCAATCTCCTCCTTCAAACAAATACGCTGTACATGTTCTGGGTCCAGTACGATAGCAACTTTAAGATGGCCAGGTGCTCAATGTTCGTGTCCATGTTTAGGCGACTTCCATAAACACTGAGCATGCTTGCTGTGTGTGATGTTGTTGTGTCTTCCAGTGCACATACGGGACACTTTTGGGGCGTTTAAAGTTCACACTGGAGATCACATACAAGTCGCATTTAACTGGACATGTGAACGACCTCGCAAAAAATCGGATTTTACAAAAAATTCCAATTGAGCATTAAGCCCTGCAGTGTGAACGTAGCCTATGTGCTCTTATACTTGTTCTGATACAGCTCAGGATCATTCTAAAGCTATTCGGGAAAGATTCATTTATGTCTTGTCAATGTGACGTGCCCCAAGAATATTTAGTTTCGATAGTACTATCAATCTATATCTGATTTTTGATACTTTTGACAACCCAAGATTAAATGTTAAAGCGTGAATGGAAATTTTAATTAACCACATTACATTATACCCTTCTTTAAAAGATTAGGCTAGATGTTTCAGCTCTTTTTGATGTCATTCATAATAATTCATTTTAATTATATAAAATAGATTCAATACCTTAATTCTGTATGTGTCCAAAATACAACTGCAATATTATTTTTTTTCGATTTACCTCTGTACTTAAATGCCTTTATATCAACACGTTTCATCACTAAAACTCACAACTTTTCGCTTTCTAATTTCAGCGCTGCTCATTCCTTACATGAATCATTAC